CGATGAGCATTCGTAAGTCAGCCAAGCGCGGTCATTGCACGCGTGCTGAACAAGAATGCTGTATCATGACAGACTAGAAACAATAGACAACTCCCAAAGCACAAACGCAGCCAAAACGCTAAAAATCTTCAATGTTTACTCAAGTTTGGGCTTATAGAAGATAATGTCAGAGTTTTTCAATGACCATGAAATTCAGAGTCCGGGTAGTTAGTTAATCAATTGTGGCCCTGAAAAAATTTGAAGGGAAAAAACTACGAATTTTTAAGAAAATGCTTTTTTCGTGAGAAGGACTCTTAAACGCTGACAAACGTCAACAAATAGCGAAAACTATAATTTCTATATGTTTGCTTTGCTCGAAATCGCGCGCATTTACAAGGCCCTAAAGCGTTTTGCGGACTTGCAAGGACCCATCTGTTATAACGATGCCCTAAAATAAAGGGATGAATCTCATAGTTTATTAGATATAATCCGTGTAAAGTTTGCTTATCATTTTCGCATAAATTATGACGTAAGTTTGGAAACCGCTGAATTTCTCGAATTGGGTCTTTGCAATTTTGGTGAGACTCTGTTCAGAACAAGGCACTAATGCGCACTATGTGTAGCCGAGAGATTTTCACGAAAAAATGCCGGCAACAGCAGATTTTCGACTCAGACCTCAAAGGGGCGTGGCATTATAACCACGTGACATTTACTCCGATCGCCAAAAATTTTTTGTCATATTGTAGATTGATCTAAATGTTATCCATTCTATGTGTTAGACTTACGATAAAAGTAAAGATGGGGATACCAGAGAGCTTCAAAGTAGGATGGTACTCCCCCCAAAAAACTGGGTCGAGTCACCTTAAACGATAATAGCTGCTGCGTACAATCAGCGTACGTATGCGCAGTTGGCAAATGTTACTTGATGACCTGGAACAACTTGCTTGCATGGAGGGTAGGGTGAAGAGGAGTGGTCCAAGGCGTGAACCCACATGTTAGCTGAAAGGTGTCAGAGATCCCATCACCGAATGCAAAACACTGTGACCTGTTCGACAGGTAAAATTGGAACCAAGCCAGTGCCCTCCCTGAAACTAATCTTGTTTTCCCCACAGTAAATAAAATTCCATTGTCTGCTTACAGCAGTAGTGCAGTGCATTAAAGACAGCTGAAACATGTGCTCAATTGTTAGAGGCCCATGCAATAAAGAGCCTATTGTACAGAGAATTTTTCTATTGATAGCTTTCTATAGTAAATGTCCGCAAACATTAAGCTCATTTGTGATGTTTGCATTTCGAATTCTCTAAAGTGGATTATTCCTAGGAGCGGGCCCTCTCTGTAAAACGGTCGTAGTTGACACAGACACAATGTTAAGGAGGATCAAAATGTGAACTGATGGATAGTGAAGAATCGATCGTTGTTTGTCCTCGCAGAATGTAGTCATTCCACAGTTTGTTTGTACGAAGAGTGGGGAGGGGAGGGAAAGTTCCTGTCAACAGCAGTTAACCAGAAATTTTCTCTCTGTCACCTGAATTCAGGGAAATTGTCATTGTCAAGAAAAATACCCAAATTAACGTTTTACCTACTAACCAAGAGAGAATGATCTCATTCTCTCTTGCTACTAAGTAAATAAAAACATTGTCTAGTCATCTTGTTTCATACATCTTCTTACAACTTCGAGAAAACTATCACCTAGCATGGAAAAAAAAGGTGCTCCTTTCCTCGCAGAGAAATAAAAACTTCGAACGTGTCTCTACGGTATCTGCTGGTCCTAAAAATAGGAGGAAATAGGCACGATAGGGATAACTAATAAGCGGATTTCCATTACGCTGCCCCAGCCTGCCAAAGACCAACCCTTATGGCTTAAAGATGGCCTTGAAACAGTGACATAGGACAGCAGAAATTCCGACAAACGACACAAAGATGGGTTGAAACTGCGACAGCGACGGGGAAACGCTCAAATACGATAATATTATACTACTACATGAGAAATTTCTGCAATTTGATTGGCTTAGGGTAGTGGTATTCAGCTTAATTTGAAATACCTACATGTGAAAATTACAAACCTTTTGCGGGTAGTAGTATAAACAAATAATAGCATTATTTGTACGTGATATTTGGCATAAATACCACTCGTAATATTTCAAGATTGTCACAAATTTCACTCGCCTAAAGGCTCGTGTAATTACGTATAACAAATTCGAAATATCACTCGTGGTATTTATGCCAAATATCACTACAAATCATGCTATTACTTACACAAATACCGACAGTGACATGGCTTTCTCCTCAATAACCGAAAAGACAGGTTTTGAAATTCTGACTAGAGACATACGTGACGTCCCTCAGAGGACCTCCTTAAACTGTGTTGACAATTTACGGCAGATATGCCCTCCCATTTTTTTTCGGACATATTTTGCATATTTTTTGTCAAAATTATGAAAATAATTCTATTGAAAAACTTATTCTTTAAGGAAGTAGGTTACTGTACACACATCGCTCTTTTTCTTCGTATCGTATGTTTTGCGACAAGCATATATGCTAAAAAAATCACACTTTCTTGTCCTTTCACTTATCATTGTACTTACATGGGTGTCATGCTGTCTCCCTTAAGAAAACGAAACAATTTCCTTGTTTTGACAACGTCATCGGTCTAAAAAAAAAAACTGGCCACTATTCAGGATTGCGTATTGGACGTTCAAACAAGTCAGGCTCGAACACATTTTCTTACCCAGAGCATAATTTTCTCAGTTCAGCTAGTTTGAGAAACTTGTCAGTTACAACGATGGGCGGTTGGAACTTGGCAAATTGCATCAACTTATTTGTTCTCACAGTTATCTTTGTTTCAGGAGAAAACGTGGCTAAGCATAACAGCTGCAAGAAGGTCTTGGGGCAAGAAGCAAGTTCTCTTACTGTTGCGCAAATAAGCAATGTCTCGTCGAAGGCACGTTATGAAGTCTGCGCCGATATTTTCGGCGTAATTTTCTATTGTCCAGGGGATGAAATATGTTGCACACCAGGGGATCCATTTAGCAAATGTTGCCCGGCAGACTATCCGCTTTGCTTACCCGTGGAAAACCCAGAAAAATGCTGCCCAGTAGGATATCCAAAACTTTGTGGGTCATACTGTTGCGTGGAAGACAGCTTCTGCTGCAACGAGAAAATCTGCTGTGAAAATGAAAGCGCTTGCTGCGGGGCCCAGTGTTGCGAGGATGGTGAATTTTGCTGCAATGGCCTAAGCTGTTGTGATAGTGGAGAGAGCTGTTGTGGGGTTCAGTGTTGCGAGGTTGGCAAATTTTGCTGCATTGGCATAAACTGTTGTGATAGTGTAGGCGCTTGTTGTGGGGTTCAGTGCTGCGACGTTGGCGAATTTTGCTGCAATGGCATAAGCTGTTGTGATAGTGTAGACGCCTGTTGTGGGGCTCAGTGCTGCCCAGAAGATGCCCCTTGCTGTAGGCAGGATGAATCCTCAGCATGCTGCGACAAAGTTACCATGGCCTGTTGTGACGGATACGGGTGTGTTACTCCATGCCCATCCCAGTTTGATGCCATAGGATGCCAACTGTCAAGCCTGACCCTTGACGATAAACTGCTACAAGCACCATACGGATTGCCAACAAACGTTTATCGACTACTGCGCCCTAACGAGAATCCTGATGGAATTGTTGCAAAAAATCCGGGTGCCCAGAAAAGTGTTCTGTCTCATGTTAACTGCGGAAGTCGCCCGAAATACGCTTCGCAGTTTATATCAACATCAGCATCCTTAGACGTGGCAAAGGACTACAAAAAAAAAGGCGAGGAAAAAGGTATAACCGGATTGAGAATTTGTGAGTTTGAGGTAGATAAATTGCCCCAGACTTGCCAGATCGTGGACCTTACAACCGAGGAGAACCGAGACAAGTACCTGGGAAATGCTGTGTGTAAAGCTTATGCCAAGGCATCGGCAGAGGTCCTTCTTCAATGCGGTGTGCCAATTCCATGTACGGTCATTGATCCCCCGAACCGAGCGTGAGACGAAGAAGTTTGCAGATACTCGACACAAACTGTAGGTGGAACATTTCATCTTTGTTCACTTAAATTAAAAACCTTTTGTTGTTTTCGTTGAGTTATTGTACTGGAAAGGGAAGGAGATAGTTGAGGCTTCCTTTGTTGAAGTTGCAGATTTCTTATCCATAAATCTAGAATTTGTTTTCGAAAGAAAGTTTCAGTCTTGAATAAAGAAAAGAAACAAAGTAGTTTTTTTTTTTCGAATTAACTAAGCCAATGTTAATCTCAGTTATTAGTCCAAACAGAAAAAAAATGCTTAAAATACTCGTTTTAGTCACGAACAGATAACCGGAAGTTAGTATGGCTTGTCTTAGTTTTCTCAAGAGTATGCGAATGGTTTCTCAGTATTTTTCTCGACACAATCGAAGGACTTGAAGCTTGGTGCATTTGCTACTTTTGTTATTATTATTGTTTTTGATAGTGTTATTTTTTGGCAAAGCGTCTATGTTGTTTATACATACTCTTTCAGCTGTAATGGCAAAAATAGCTTCCACTTTCATTTAATAAATATGTCAGAATACTTAAAGCTTCGCGACTTTAACCTTGATTTATTAGATATAGCTATAATAAAAAGCTATGTAAGTTCAATGAAACAGGAATATATCTTATACTGCAAAACACCCGTCAACATTCTCAAAAACTTGAATTTTATAGGTCTTTAAAACCGATCATACCTCCTTTAGTTACGTAGACTTAACAACAAGAACAGCTGGGAGAAGGGCTATAGTAAAACTACAAATAAGCAATCACAAACTAATGATAGAAATAGGCAGATACAATCAACCTACAAAGGATAATAGGCATTGCCCTATTTGTGGATGCAATGTAATAGAAGACGAAGTTCACTTTCTTTTTCAATGTTCTACATATACCCTATGATTAGGAATAAATTGTACCATAAAGTCAAGACTCTGATTCCAAATATTACCCAGTTACCTATAAACGGTTTGATCAATGAACTGATAAACTCTTCTAATTACTTTATCAATATACAATTCGTAAAATGTATTTCAGCTTGTTTTGATGTTCGTGACAAATTATCATCAAAGTAACGTAATTGCCCTGTGTTGTAATTTTGATTCCTAAACATAGCTTTTGCAATACTATACGTGCTTGAATGGTCAGGCAAATAAAGCTCGTTGTTGTTGTTCAGCTCCTTGTTTGAGCAACAATTATAATTACATAAAGTAAATAAGGAGAGATTTTTAATTACTAACGTGTGAGCCGAATTATTTATGTGCGGCAAACATGGTATAGTCGCAGACTTTACTCGCTTTCAAATTTTCTTACAGACACAAACTTTATTTGTGGACTTTCTAGACTTTATACAAGGCGAACTGATGTGTAGTAAGTGAAACAAGTGAAACGAAGCGAAACGAAGCGGTACTGATTACAAGGTTAAGATAAAATAACTACCGGATTAAGTGAAATCAATAGGGCAAAGGCGGAAGAAACAAGCAAGATACTTACAAGAAGATAACGAGAAAAGACGAAACACCAGGGCGAGCTAAACAAAGTGCATGTGGACAGAACCGAGGGCAACGAAGAACTGACGCCAAAATATTAAAACAGAAGCTAGACATACCATATGCAAAGGGAAACCTAACACGGAGAACAAAGGTACCCGAACAATGAGCGGCTAATGAACTAGAAAACTACACCAAAGGAGTGAACACGAAAATAACTAAAAGCGCGGCGAACATACAAATACTTTAGACAAAGCACGAGATTCCTGGCGCTAACACATGGATCGTGCCCGTTTCTCAGGATGGTTATTGGCGAAATACTTTCCTTAGAATAACTTTACCCTCTCTTCAGAAACGCCTGTTAGTTGCACCATATATGTAGGGGGTTGATAGCGCTACTCAAATAGACCAAGAACCCGCATGTAAAGTGCACCTGTCGAGCTAATGTGGGTACCCTGTGTGCAGCAGCGATGATGCAAACTGGAGGCCAGCAAAACGCAAAACCAACCATTGCTATCCCTAAAATCTTGGTAACTCTCTTTTCGTCTACGTTTGCAGTTAACGTATGGAGGTTCATCTTGGCTGAAAAGATTTGATTTGATTTGATTTGTATCGTTCTGGTTTTACTATGCAGAAATATATGGGTGGCAAAGGAGGGGGGGTACCTATCACGCATCACGTCGATTTTTTTAAGCTATCCACGCATCACGGAAAAATAAAATAAAGTGTTTACTACATTAACAAGTATCCTATTATCATTTGATCTGAGGAAATCAGAGATGGAGGAACGAGAAAAATAGCAAGTCTTTGGTTTCATAACTATCTATCTTTAATGTCCCTGCTTCTAGTTTCTGATGATATTGAAATTTCAAAGGAAAACCACCCATTATACCTTGTGAAAATAGTAAATCACGCATCACGCTACTATGCCCATTCACGCCTCACGCGGCTAATTTGAGCCAGATCACGCATCACGCTAATAATTTAGGTCCCATCACGCGTCAAGGAAAACCCCTTCGCCACCCTAAAATATCTACTAATTGCAATTACTCCCATGGTGTAAAGAGACACCAAGCCAAATACAAAAACACTTACCAAAGCCATTAAACTGCCAAAAAAATTCACCAAAATTCCAACGGCCTCGAGCAACTGTGACAACTGAAAATGACTCACAACAAGTCGACTGATATCAAGACGTCACTCACTGCCACTGCTACAACAAGAAAATATGTTTGAAATTATGCGAATTCTCTTGTTTCTGTACACAGCATAAAAACGAAGAGATTTCCGTTGAAGGCTACCACGTTTATTTCCGTAAACAGAAACATTTCAATCCATATCAGTAACTGAATTTGGTGTAGTAAAGCGCATTACTGAGAAAGCGAAATCTACAAGTCTGACAAGTGAAAGTTTGTTGATACTGAAAGACTTTGATACAAAATAATGAAAATCGATATCCTAACGTCAACAGCTACTTTCCAGCCTTCACAACCCGGAAGTGTTCAAAATATGTAAGTCTAGTTTGCTCTTTGGAGAATATTTTTTAGCTCGCTGTGTTATTCAAGTCTTTGAATGATTTCAATATACTGTCAAGAATGACGAGGGTTTCGATAAAAACGCAGTTTGTCACTCCTTATAGCTCATAGATTTTATATTGGATTGGCATCCTTAGAAATTACACATGAATTAAATAAGACCTTTCTTATTCGACTGTTATCTCAGGGACTGTGTATAGTGTGCATGTTCAAACAAGAAATACATAAGAAGGGCAACCACAGTCTTTTACCCGAGGTTGAAGGATCGTGTTTGCGTGTCCTGTGTCTGTCTTGTGCTCGTCCCGTTTGAATATTTGATACTTGCAGATTGCCCTAGGTAAGGGAATCTAAGACAGTCTTGGATTCTGGATTTTAAGGAGTGGATTTTAGATTCCAGGTTCTAGATAGCGGGATTCAGTGGAACTTGGGTTGCGGATTCCACAGTCGTTAGTGTGATTCCGGATTCTAAAGCCCAGGATTCTGCATTCCACAAGCAAATATTTTCTGGATTCAGCGATATCTTTCCCTTGCATGGGGCGATGCAGATCTCTCTCGTTCAAACATGACAATCACAAGACAATCCGGCGACCACAATCGTTTATCAGTTTTCTCAGTTCAGTTAGGTTGAGTGCTAAACGCAAACGTGCATGAAAAAATGACCTGTTGGAAGGCAAACTACATCAATTTCTTTGTTCTCGCAGCAGTCTTGTTTGTTTCAAGCGAAAAGGTGCCTAAGTACCCCAGCTACAAGAAGGTCTTGGGGAAGGTAGCAAATTCTCTCGCTGTTCCGCAAATAAGAAATGTCTCGTCGAAGACTCATTTTGAAGTCTGTGCTGAAGAGGGAGAAGAGATATTCTACTGTCCTCTGGATGAAATATGCTGCACGCCAGGGGATCCAGCAAGTAGATGTTGCCCGGCAGAGTATCCACTTTGCTTACCCAAGGAAAACCCAGTAGGATGCTGCCCAGTAGGATACCCAACGTTATGTGGCCTATATTGTTGCAAGGAAGGCAGCTTTTGCTGTAATGGGATGGACTGTTGTGATAGTATAGGCGCTTGTTGTGGGGCTCGGTGTTGCGAAAATGGTGAATTTTGCTGCAATGGCATAAGCTGTTGTGATAGTGTAGGTGCTTGTTGTGGGGTTCAGTGTTGCGAGTTTGGCGAATTTTGCTGCAATGGCATAAGCTGTTGTGATAGTGTAGACGCCTGTTGTGGGGCTCAGTGCTGCCCAGAAGATGCCCCTTGCTGTAAGCAGGATGGATCCTCAGCATGCTGTGACAAAGTTACCATGGCCTGTTGTGACGGATACGGATGTGTTCATCCTTGCCCATCTCAGTTTGATGCCCTAGGTTGCCAACTGACAAGCTTGTTTCTTGATAATAACCGCTTAGAGACACTATATACATCGACAAAAAAACGTTTATCGAATACTGCGCCCAGACGAAAATCCTGAGGGAATTGTCGCAAGAGATCCAGTTGCCGAGAAAAATGTTCTCTCGCATGTTAATTGCGGAAGTCGATCAAATTACGCTTCGCAGTTTATATCAACATCAGCATCCTTAGACGTGGCCAAGGACTACAAAGAAAAAGGCGAGGAAAAAGGTCTAACTGGATTGAGAATTTGCGAATTTGAAGTGGATAAATTGCCCCAGACTTGCCAGATGGTGGACCTTACAACCGAGGAGAACCGAGACAAGTACCTGGGAAACGCTCTGAGCAAAACCTATGCCAAGGTATCGGCGGAGATTCTTCTCCAATGTGATGCGCCAATTCCTGTACGGTTATTGATCCCCAACCGAGCGTGAGACGAAGAAGTTTGCAGATATTCCATTTGAACTTTAGATGGAACATTTCATCGATGTTCAGGAAAATTTGAAGCCTTGAATTGTTTATGACTAGTTAGTGTACTGATTTTAAGATCAAAACCGGGAAGGGGATAATTTTATAAATAATAGAGGTCTCTTGTGATAAAGTTCCAGGTTTTTCATCCATCAGTCTAGAATTTGTGTTCGAAAAAAAGCTTTCTGCGCGAAAGGAAAAGTAACAAATTGAATTTATTTGCATTTAACTAATGTTTCTATCAATTAATCGTCTTAAGTTTTAAATTAAAAAAAAAATCCCTGAAATATTCGTTTTAGTTACAAACAGGTAACAGGAAGTTGATTTTTACCCGAATTAATTTTTCTAAGAATTTGCGAAGGGACTTTGAATCTTTCACCTAACTCAATGGAAGGAATTGAAGCTTGGCGGCTTTGCTACCTTCGTAGACGTTGCCAATTGTGAATCAATTACCCCGGATCTTAATAAGCTTACATTTGAATTATCATTAAAACTATGGTTCTAAACAAAGTACAATGTCATTTCTCGCGTCATTCAAGAGGAAACACATTTCCCATTTGCCGTACAAAAAATCTATGTAGCCAAAGTCTGCTTTGCTGTACTCAGATCACGTTAATGTATATTCTGCTAGGGACTCACATTATGTTGCCCCGTTTCCGGCCAAATAAACGTCAATTTTCGGAAAACATCTGTTCGGAAGACGATTTGAGATCTAGAATTTTCGGAACATTTGTTCTAAAATTTCTTGCTTGCCTGCCTCCCCTAGGATTTTCGAACATCTAAAAAATGGTATAACTGCTCATTTTTAACGGATTTTTACCCTAAAAAGGTCACCTAGAATTTTCGGGAGCCTTTTTTCTGGCTGAAATTTTCGAAAAGGTAAGTTTTGATCCCTATAATTTTCGGATCACTAGACTTTTAGCTAGGAAATCCGGACAGATGAAAATTTTTTAGGGGATAAAAATATGCCTATATCTACCGTTTAAATACTAAAATACGTTCAACAATGCTCTGTTTAAGTGGTTTTGAACTATATTCTCGTTGGGTGCCCCTGAAATAATGGCCCCAGGGTTTTCGTTGGACTTTTTTAGATGTCGTGAACCTAATTATTCTGAGAAAAAAGAACGAGCGGCTAGTTCAGCTTGAAATTGATGAGTTTGGACGGGCGATAAAGTCAATAGACTCCTCAGGACGAAGAATGTCGGTTATACACATGTTGAATTTTAATACTGAAGCGTCTTTTTTCTTTTTCTTCAAGTTATTTACTTTTGGATTTTTTTTCCTGCCTTGTCTTAAAAGCAATTATTATTTGAGTACTTTTTTTTTGTATTTTAATGAATTTTTTGTTTTGTTATGTTTCACATTTTTTTTTACATTCTGACTTATGAACACGGAACACGTAAGGAAAAATACAAAAAACGGAAAGGAAAACTAAACATTATACAACGCAGACTAACTAACACACAGTTACATACTTGCAAAAAGAAAACAAACGAAACAAAAACCCGGTACCTTCTTTTTCTATTTACATGAAAAAAGTAAAATAAAATAAATAAAAAATAAAGATTGATAATAAATGAAGTAAGCGGAGAAGAGATCGTATGCTAATCAGTTTTATATTTGCCCCATTTCATATTGTGGGTCTCCAACTTATTGTTTGACTTAGCGATCATTGTCTCTATTAAGAGGACAGTATTAATTTTGGAATGAAGAACTCTGATGGAGGGAGGATATTTGTTCTGTCTACAAGAGTATAGATATTGTTTTGCCAGTAAAAAAATATGATTCACAAATATCTCATCCTCACATCCAATAATACCAAACAGTATATCTTTGTCTGAAAGATTTTCAATCTTGACCTTATGATCAACAAGCCATTTTATAACCTCAGACCAGAAATCCTTAGTATAATGACAAGACAGGAAAAGATGTTCGAGGGATTCGTCCGATTCACCACCCAAGGAGCACGCTGGAGATGGTATAATACCAATTTTGCATAAGAAAGTATTTGTCACAAGGCATCTGTTTAATAATTTATACTGAAATTCGCGAGTCTTTGTATCTAAGGCAACACGATATGGCAAGCTATAGATTTTTTCCAGTTCAAAGTATCATTAACAAAATTAGCATCAAACTTTAGTTTAGCAGTTGGTGGAGTGACGATTCTCTTTCGAAGTTCTCTATAAACAATTTTCGAATACGCTTTTTCAAGTAAAATAATTTGACCACTTAAGCGTAACTTAATCTCATCACGCAAATTGAATGGTGTGTCACCTGTATAGATGCAGGATTTCAACGATTCACGCCATTGAGTTGGTAGAGCGTCTATTAAAGAGACAAGCCTAAAGGCGAAAGGTTCAAGACTCTCAACTCGCTTTTGATTATAAGTTCATGTTTATTCGAGATTAAATCACCCACTCGAAAGATCTTTCTCAGCGAGATTTCGAAAATACACAGACTTGTCACCAACACAAATAAATTTGTTGTTCCATAAGGTAACTTTTGACAAGTCTTTTCCATTTAAATCCTGTATATTTAAATTATTTACGCCGAGCACTTTGCAAAAGATTTTAAGCATTCTTCATAAAAGGCTGGTAATTTGATAGTCAATTTCTTCAAATCAAAGTCGCAACATAAGACTAATTTACCACCAACAGGTTTCAGATAATGCAAAAGGATTATTTTCCATCCACTCGGTTGATCAGTTGCCAATTTCTTGCAGCAAAGTATTCTCTGTGTCTCAGTTATGGAGTTTAAATGTGGGGCTTTAAGTCCTCCATCTTCGATATCACTGATAAGTGCAGAGCTTTTAACTTTATCCTTTCCTTTCCATATAAAATCAAAGATAATTTTGTTCGCTTCTTTCACAAATTCTTTATCCAATGATATCAAGCTCGTGCGATATAAGAAGATAGGGATAATAAAGGTTTTGACAATTTGAATTCTCCCTATGATAGTCAAATCCCTCCACCTCCAGATTCGTAGCTTAAGTTGGATGGAGCTGATTAATTCATTGATGTTTAGCTTTTGTTTTGCTTGAATGTCATAGGTAAAATGTACTCCTAAGATTTTAGCTGATCGTTTAATTTTTATGTTGTTCAGAGCGGCTTCTTGTACGGTACGGGCCAGGTTACCTAGTAGCAAAAGCTCTGTCTTTTCGTGGTTAACCTTGGGCCAGAGCAAGTTCCATAATCTTCTATAAGTTTAAGAGAGAGGTCATCGTTTAAAAACCCTGTCAGGTCATCTACGAAAAGACTTAATTTGATCTCTTCTTTATCGACTTTAATACCACGAATGTCATTACTGTTACGTATGTTAACACATAAAACTTCTAATGCTATAATAAATAAGTAAGCAGAGAGAGGGTCTCCCTCTCTTACTCCTCTTTCAAAGGAAAAGGATGAAGTTGCAAAGCCATTATTTAAGACACAACTCGAGACATTCTTGTAAAAAGTATGGATCCATTGAATAAAAGATGGTCCAAAACCAAAAACTCTATGGTTCTGACCGCGTCGAAAATGGTTCTACATATGCAGATTGATTGAAATGTATGATGTTTGGTAAAACATTCTCCAATCTCTTGGCAAGGGCTTTTGAACCGATTTTAACATCAACATTAATAAGGGAAATCGGTCTCCAGTTTGATAAGTCCCTTTTGTCTTTGTCCTTCTTTTCTATTAGGGTAATAATGGCTTCTTTCTGAGAGTTTGAGAGCTTACCATGATCATAAGAGTAGTTTAAGCTGTCTACATTATCGTCAAAAACCTTACGGACAGAACTCTTAGCTTTCTTATGTGTTTCGAGGTTTAAAAAGAACTTATTGCTTTTTTCTCCTTTTTCATACCAAGTGGCTTTCGATCGGATTATAGCACCTTTTGCTATCTGTTCATAGATAGAATCATATTCCATTTTTAACAATTCAAACTCTTCCTGGTTCTCAGGAGTTGGTTAACTACCGCATCTCTCTTCCGAAATCTTCAAAGAAGCCTTAATATCAGAGATCTGTCTTCTCCTTTCACGTGCTTTTTCTTTGCTATACTTTATTTGAGTACTTTTGGCAAACTGTCTTTTTGTTTATACTCCTTCAGCTTTTTGTTTTTAATCAGTAAACTTTGATTAGACACATCTCTTGAATAAATTAAAAGATCTTGAATCACTTATGAGGATTTACATACCAGCTGCGGCGGACATGGATCTTCCCACTTTTAGGATGATTTCAGACAAAATACTTTCCTTAGAATAACTTTACTTTCTCTCCTGAAATGCCTGTTAGTTGCACCATATATGAAGGGGTTTATTGTGCTGCTCAAATAGATCAAGAACGCGTATGTAAGATACACCTGTCGCGGTAAAGTGGGTACCCTGTACACAGCGTCAATATAATCGATGATGCAAACTGGAAGCCAGCAAAACGCAAAACCAACCATTACCGCTCCTAACGTCTTAGTTACTCTCGCTTCTTCTATATTTGCTCTTAACGTATGGAGGTTCGTCTTGGCTGAAAAGATTCGATTTGTTGACGAAACTGTGTAAAATACTTTGACATAGCAGATTATTATGAATACAAAGGGTGTTGCCACATACACGGTTTCAATAAAAGCGGTGTACACAATGTTCGTTTGAAAAGTGTACAGGCACAACGCTTTTCCTGGTTGGAATTCAAATCCGCCATTTTCAAAGAAAAATGGAGGCACCGATCCCAGTAAAGCCGCTCCCCACACGACGGCAATGTATGTCATTGTCTTTCTTGTTTTGAACAACACAACGTATTTATCTGGTTTTACCACGCAGAAATATCTACTAATTGCGATAATTCCCATGGTGTGAAGAGACGCCAGGCCAAATGTAAAAACTCCAAAACCATGAAACTGGCAAAAACTTTCACCAAAAATCCAATGGCCGCGAGCAAGTGCGACAACTGAAAACGGCACACAAAAAGTCGACATCAAGATATCACTCGCTGCCAGTGCTATAACAAATATATTTGGAATTGTACGAAGTCTTCTGTTTCTGTACACAGCATAACAAACGAACAGATTTCCGTTAAAAGCTGCTACGTTCATCACTGAAAAAAGAAACGTTTCAATCCATATCAAGTGGGTTGGCCTTGCATAAAGCGCAAGAGTAAGCGAAGTCTTCATGTTAAAGTCAAAATAATTAAACGGATCTGTTAATGTCAACACTAACGTTCCAACTTTTAAAAGTGGAAGTGTTCCAAATAAGTAAATTAGTTTGCTCCATGAAAATTTATTTTTAGCTCGCTGTTTTGATCAAGTCTTGGAATTAAATATTGAAAGTCCAGAAAATCGAGGTTTTCGATGACAGAGCAGTATGTTAGGCTGTCTTTGATTGTTTAAATATTTTATATCAGATTCGCATCCTTTGAACTCGTACCTAAGGAAATATAAAACTTTTTTTATTTGTCAATCCGTTTATCTCTTTTAGCATAAGTTATCATATTCCCTAAAGTTAATGACATTTCGCTGAGCTGTCTCATCTCAGTTGAAATACAAGTTGCAGGTGCAAAACAGAGTTGTTAGTGGCTTTGGCCTAGACCAAACGTCAAACTTTTCATAAGACAAACCAAAATTAGTGAGTTAACAGTAGCGGATCCAGGGAGGGGACCCGCTCCCCCCCCCCCACCCCACCTACCTTTTGTGCAAACTGAGCCCCGAAGGGCCGAAAAATTGTTTTGGAGACCTGACCAAACAGACGATCTTAACTTACAACTTAATTTATGTCGACCCAAATAAGACTTTGGTTCGTATCATGAAAAGTTCTACGTTTGGCCTAGGCCTAACTTTCATGAACTCTCGGCAGCTCAGTCGGTAAAGCGCTCGACTACAGAGCGAAAGGTAAGTTTTTAGCCTAAGAAAACAGCCGACATTTCGTCATGGCGGCTTCGATAGGGACCGGAGCAATACTCTGGGTCTTAAAACAACTGAGAAATGAAAGTACTAGCTAGGCCTACAGCTAAACCCTCGCGTTGCTCGGATGACCGAGTAAAATGGAGGTCCCGATCCCGTCTCTGTTAACTACAACAGCAGTAACCAACGGTTAGGTAGTGTGTGCGAACATGAGCGTTTACCTTGAGGTGCGATTGATGTTGAGGACCGCTTTCACAATTGTTTACGTGAATAAAAAGGCCATATTTAAAAGTTTCAGCATCAGTAGAAGGAATCACGGCGGATCATGAACGTGGAAGATGAATTGAACAACACTGTAAACAAGACTTTTATTAAATTCAACTATTTTATTCACATTATTGCTTAGATATAGGTAGCTTTGCGAACGATGAGCAGCGACTGAGGAGAGACGGCTGAATTCGCTGAGATAATAGAGAGATTAAGATTCACGTTTACGCCAAACGGCAAACATAACTTTGTACCACTTGACCAAGTTTTCCCCATATTTTCCGCTTATTCTTTATTGCTTCTACGCAAAAATAAGTAGTTTTATGCCAGTGTTAACCATAGGAATCGTTCGGGACTGTTTTTATCTGCTTATTTTCTATCCTGAGAAATTCTCAACTTGAGTCTGAAGTTTGCCGTTTGCGGTAAACGTGAATCTTAATCTCTCTAATGCGTGACAACGCTCGACGTGAAATGAACAGTCATAACAGCACGAACTCAAGGCACGAACTCTTATTACTCATCAATTAATGTTCGGTATTTGGTGACCAAAGGTCATTGAGATGTAACAGTGACTCATGAAAAAGTTAAGTTTAAAGCTTATTAAGTGTCAGATAAACATGCTTGAAAACACATAAAATATAAAACAACTGAAGTGTAACCTGAATAAGCTTAACTTACATGGATTTATAGGGTGTGCAATCACTTACCTTACCAAGGCTCGTCCCACACTAAGCTGAGATCAGGCTCTGCTCCTGGTAAATAGATTTTCGGCAACAAGGCGAATGGAAAAATCTTGCATTTGATGCAATACGTGCATACCTAAAATACGCTGACTACGTGTTTTCAAAACAAACAAAAATTGTTGCATGTCCTTGCGAAGATTATCGCTCTTTCTCGACTTCCGTCTTGTCAATGTTCGCCAACTTCACAGCATGCAACGAAAAATGCAGCATCAGCACCTTGGAAAACGTTGATGGTGCACTCAAGTTTTCGTGTTGACTTTCACGAGAGCACCGACCTTGCGCTCAACACCTGGGCCTTCTCGGCCAGTTCATGGCCACATGCCGTGCATATTAGTTGGAAGAACAAAAGCATCCCAAGAATGTGGACAGATTTTGCCAAAACCCCCGCTATACACTAAGAAAGTGTCGCTGATCATGAATAGTCTGCGGGCTCCTCTTGTCGCCCGTAAATAGAGGATGTAAACCCTCAATTAGTACTTTGCTGTTAAATCATTGACTCTCAAATAAGGTGCATTATTCCTTTAATTTTCATTTTTTATCGATTACTTTCTGTAGATAATTTTTGCATACACATTTACAATGTTCCCACTATAATTCTCTAAAGCGAAACATTTCAAAGAGCGGACCTTGCATGGTAGATGACAAACGCAATCTGAAAGGAGATTGGCGTAACCTGAGAATGAATAGTGGTAGTGCAGGCTCTAACGAGGCCAACTGAGTTAAATTTCCAAAGATCGTCGCAAAGGTGATATTTTATTTGTCATATTCACTTTTCAAAGTTTGATAATTAACTAACGTGCTTTTGAATGAAGAATGAAAAACGCTAATTGTAAACTGAATCTATATTTGTCTAAACTTGCATTCTAGTTGGGATCGTCACTACATAGCAAATAAGTTACGGCTCTAAATAATCATTAACCCTCGTTTCACGATGCTAGTGGCCGATAATAGCTTGAAATAGAGAGTTAAATATTTTACTTCTGATAGTGGAATTATTAATGGGGGCATTAGCAGTAAATGCCAACGTAAAGAAATCAAACTGGCGCCTAAGAATCAGTTCAGGTGACAATTATTATCTTGACAGTTACAACAGGCTATCTGGTCTAGTACCGGTATACAACTGAAAAGCGTATCATCAATTTCCCTTAACTTACCGGCATAACTCTAAGACAAAACTATGAAATTCAAGGCAATTATTTCCAATAGAAGGATAATTTTTGATCTGACACACCCAAAAAGATACCAAATTTGGTGGACTTTTGAAAAACAGCCGAACATAAAAATTAACTAGAATTACTCAAGATGATGTCATCTACAGTCTCAAAAGTCATTTGCCTATGTAATTAACTTTGACAGCGCGAAGTTTAAGGCATATCTTTATCTTTATTGTCCCTTACCTAAATAGCGACTGACACTAAATTTGTAGTTGGTTGTGAGGTCTGTCCTCTCCGGCTTTTAAGAGGTTCGGTTCCAGAAACGTTTTCGGACATCCCCGTGCACTGGCGCCCATGCAAGCAAAGCACCTTTTTCAAAATAATCCGATACTCTCGCCGGAAGTGCTTATTCGTAGCGCCATAGATGAAGGGGTTTATAGTGCTACTCAAATATACCAAAAACCCGTATGTCAGATATAACTGTCGAGGCAGAGTGGGCTCCCCACGCGCGGCGTCAATATAATCGATGATGCAAACTGGAAGCCAGCAACACGCGAAACCAGCCATAACAGCTGCTAAAGTCTTGGTAACTTTTGCTTCCTCCACGTTTGCTCTTAGTTGCTGGGGGTTGTTTTCATGGGAGAAAACCTGATTTGATCGTGAAACAGTGAAGAATACTTTAGCATAGCAAATCGTGATGAGAGTTAAAGGCGTTGCTACGTACACGCATTCTATGAACGCTGTGTACGCGATGTTGGTTTGAAAAGTGTACAGGCACATTGCTTTTCCAGGCTGGAACTCAAATCCGCCATTTTCAAAGAAAAACGGAGGCACAGATCCGATTAAAGCAGCACTCCAAACGACGGCAATATATGCCAAAGTCTGTCGAGTCTTAAAGATCACAATGTATTTTTCTGGTTTGACCACGCAGAAGTATCTACTAAGTGCGATTATTCCCATGGTGTGAAGAGAAGCCAGACCAAATGTAAAAACACCAAAGCCATGAAATCGGCAGAAATCTTGACCAAAAATCCACCTGCCGCGGACTAACGTGGCAACTGAGAAAGGCATACAACAAGTAGACATTAAAATATCGCTCACCGCCAGCGCTACAACAAACATATTTGCAAGCGTTCGAAGTCTGTGGTTTCTATAAACAGCGTAACAAACTGAAAGGTTTCCAAAGAAGGCTCCCACATTAATAATAGCGAACAGTACTGTTTCTGTCCAGACCAGACGCTTTTCTCGAGCGGAAAGTTCTAAAGAGAGTTTTGACTCCATTTTGTTTGTTATCACCCTCACTGGTCAAAAAATTGTGAATTCATGAGGTAAACAAACGCTCGATTTGGGTTTGATGTTTTAAAATGTTCATTAGGCTGTTTTGGCAGGTGTCATCCCAATACACATCTCTATCGCATGATAATCGTTTTGACTGAGCAAACATCTGACCCTTCGTCACTTTTATAACATCCCCTGATGATTTTATGAATACAGGCGGTAATTACACAGGTACCTCATTTATGATATCGTTTGTGCAATCAGCAAAAAATATCGCTTTATATACCAGGTGTCAGATAAATTTATTTCCAAGAGCAGATCACAGTATAATTTCTCCTCAGTTAGAGTTATAACACCAAGAAAACTAGTTACCGGTATAAAAAGATGCAATTATTTCTTTCAGTCACGACAGCTCATGATCACCAGTTGTGGTCGCAATTCCGGGTGTAAATCCTCCGTCAATTCAATTAGTCTGTCATCATCCATGTCAGGAGTGCTAGTTAGAACGAAAGGGTAAAGTCAGAGTTATATTCATAAACATTTAAGAATCATCGGAAAATTTCATTACATTTTCGCTTAGTTACTGAGACAATTAATAGTTTTGTTCTCGAGATATACTGACTTCAAAGTTGCCGGGCAAGAATCATCAAAATAAAATCAGGTTCTCCTAGTTTTGACGTTAAGTTGAGAGATACTATCTTTTGAGTCCTAATTCGCTTGACGTGGTTGGAAATCAGCATGCAAAAAATGCAGAAAGTTAAACAACAAAGTAAGGGTTTTAAGGGTAATGTCTAAACAACCGGAAAACATTTCCCATTATGATCCTTAGGCGATAAATAATAGAAGTTCTCTATTTACCCATATTTAGTGGTTTCTCATTTATCCAGTTACGAAATAACGTTTCTGTTGTACCTGTTAGTACAAATGATATTTACACTTTTATCTTGTATTTTAAAATGGCTTGTTCTAGTTTATCTCATATGATCAGTTGATTTTCAATTTATTCAATTTTCACCACCTATCAAATTGAGACACATTTGTTTTAACCTTTTTTACACTTATGTACCATCTAATTACTTAAGCAGGTGACAATTTTTCTCTCATTTCTCTTCCTCTCGTCTCAGTCTTATATTTTATTCATCACAACAAAATAATTGATGAGATAAGATATTGTTTTTTAAAGCATCCAAACACGGAAACTATAACTGATATGCACTTATCCACTGTGGAAGGGTAGATAAGGAACTCAAATGTGCCTCTTAGTGCGATATTTTTCACGACACGACGAGCCATGTGAAGAAGGTTCTGTTATATAGTGATATCCCTGCAAAACCCTATATTCCATGGATAAGTTCGAGTTCGCTTTTCTTTCCTTTTGAGATAGCTTAAAAGCTAAGGGAACCGGAAACGTTCTGCTTCCTTGGTAGTTTAGTGAATTACCTGCCCTGATGTAAAGTTTGTCAAGTTTTCCGATTTGACAAATTTTTAATTTCCTATCATAAACAAAGTCATTTACAATTTGAATTTTGAATAGGAATATTAGTATTCTATTTATAGAGAACAATCAAGAAACATCCGATATTAAGAAGCACATTCTCCACACTATTCATCATACATTTCTTGTCACTATGATGCCTTCCTGCGCAGAGTTCTCCTGGCTTTGCTTGACTTGCGTGGTACGGGTGATTGCCACAATCTGTGATGAAAGACAGGCTATGTTCACACTTAAACTTGACAAACTTCCTAGGTAATACACGTTTTATGGTGAAATGTCGTATGTATTCACAAAAATGTCGTATTTGCTCACAAAAGACTATATTTATTGCGTTCGTGTTCGCTTTTTGCTTCACTGCCGCTCATTTTCACCATGCTGGTGGCTAGCATTTCTCGTTTTGAATTTCTCACCACTGCTATAAACTTTGTATATCCCCCGTGATCTTGCGGAGTCAAAGAGCAAATGCTCATCTTCTCGCCAATCCAATCCCCAAGTTAACCATCATACTCATCGGAAAGACTCCAAGTGCGTGTCCTAAATTTGATAAGACCTCTAACTGTGCTGTAGAAAATTTGCCACAAAGAAAACTCTTAGTCTGAGCGGCGAACGATGCACGCTATCATAAGAAATTGATCAAACTGAACTTCGGCGAGTGTGCGCTTCTTCGGAAATGATAGATCTTCGCACTCTCCAATTCGGACTAGCCTCGACCCGAAGTCCATCTACTACGAGTGAGCGAGTGACTAATTTGCATATCCCTGTCCCTGAAATAACTCGGCGTACGCTCGCGCGCCCCCTCGAGTTAAAAATCGAGAAAATGGCTACTTTGCCTTGATTTATTACTGATTCGTATTATTTTATAGTCAATGTCCTTTCAATTGCCTTTTGCCATATTATCAATAAAAAAGCAAAGATCACCATTTGCACTGAGGGGGCATGTGATATCATGATTTTGCCCTCAAAAAACGATTAGTGGCTCATATCTTAAACAAAATGATAGTGATCTGGTTTGTAAAACTTGCACCATTTTCTTAAAATGAGTAACTTCGTTGGTCCCCTGACCGTACTGTTATTTTTAAAATTATAAATTACCTCTTTCTGAACACAAATTTTGCACTTAAACTTCAAGGAAAATGTTGAAAAGATGATGTCGTAACGTTTGCAGCACATCTGAGCGTAACTGTCAAACATTTAACAAGATATAAGCAAAAAGTAGTTTTGGCCGTCATGGTGGAGGGCAAGAGTATGCCCTCCAACCTGGTGGCCAATACAAATCATTCTACTAAAATCAAAGTGTCATAAAATATCTCTCTTTAATGCGTTTTCCCTCATATTTCGGGTGAAGATAATTTTGTATGTGCTCTGTCAATTTTTGGCAGCAGCAAGATTCTAAATCATTGTTCAAAGGAAGCATTGGTCACGTTACCTGTTAGTGCAGTGGCCTGTTGTCGCTGAATACAAAAAGTCTATGAAATGGCTAGTTTTGCCTTGATTTATTACTGATTCGTATTATTTTATAGAGTCAATCTACTTTCAATTGCTGTTCACTATATTATCAATGAAAAAGCAAAGCTCACCATGTTTCCTGTAAGATTATAATCATCTAATATTCTTCCTGATCTCAATCTTATCAAAATTCATTGTATGTACAGCTTTTTTTGTTGTTGTTTTCTTTCGAAATCGAAATTGAGTTCTGTAAGCTTTATAAAATGACTGTCAATAGTTCAATAACATTTACAACGTTGGTTTTTAGTTATAATAGGTTAAAAGTGACACCTTCTTTTGTTGGTGCAATTATCAACCTGATTTCTTTGTGTTATAACTGAAAAAAGATTAATCTTGAGTGAGAGACTGAAACTGTCGTTGGCTAAGAAATCAGAACGGCCTAATGATTCTCCTAAACTGTCATTAAACAGTAAGCAGTTTAAGTTCGTTTTGTTGTCACTAATTGAAGGTTGCCCAATATTGGCAATCTCTGTAGTCTTAAAAAGTGAAAATTAAGAAACCCTTGCTCGATCCATGTAATTTTGTAACTTAATGGATATTCAAGCAGCGCTAGACCAGCTGCAATTTTCAATTAAAGATGTAAATATATGTTCATTTGTTGGTCATAACTCGCAAATTAATCGCATAATGTGGCGCATAATGTGAATACATCTCCGGGGGTCACCGATAATGATTTACAAGGAGCCGGGGGGGGAGTACTTCTTTATAAGAGGCTAATGGGGATGTGCTGCTGGATGGGATCGCATTTTCACGTCTGTATTGACTATAATGGGGTCGCATTTTCAATAAATTCACTAGAATGGGGTCGCACATTTTCTGAGTTTTGTAGTAAGACAGGTCTTCATATTTACGGTTAGCAAACGTGTTTGCACTGTAGGCTTGTACTGTAGGTGAAAAGTAAAGTGTTCTTCATTCAATAAAAGGTAGATACATAAATAGAAAGTAACTATGTTGGGATCGCGAAAATTAAATATTTGCCCAAAAGTGATTAAGATGGGGTCTATAATTGGCCACAGAATAGACTATAATGGGCCAGCGGCACATACCCAACAAAAATTAACCCAAGTACCCCCCCTCCCCTGGGGGGACAAGGAGAGATATCCTCAAAAGGTTAACTTGAGTTCAGTCAGTATGAAAGTGTAAATACAAGGCTCGCCCAAGACTTTTCATTGCCAATTGGAAGTTGATTTATCTATTAGGAAAACATTTCATTTAGAAGAATATTTTTTAAGTTACAAATTTTTCCTGTCAGTCAAACACATGCTTTTTCACTCCGTGTTCTAATCGGTTCGGAAAGTTGATAAAAAGCAACAACGACGAGAAAAACAACTACCAGTTTCTTAACATTTCACATCGATATAAAAAGGATTTTTGAAAATATGTGATGCTAAAAACTCGGAACTTTAAAAAGCAAAACAATATTTTTGTCTTTCAGAAGCGACTAAATGAAAAGGAGTCCAGTTTATCTGTTTCCTTTCCAGTTTTTCCTTTTTGCTTTACTTTACTTCTCTTTGCCAACCAACTGAAAGCTTCGGTCGTCCGTTGGCAGGTACGAGGGCCAGGAGAGGGCCAAGAGAGGTGCCCCCCCCCGTCATTTTCCAAGTGGATTTTTAATTGCGTCTCTGTTCTTAAGAAACTCGCTGTTATGCTAAATTTTAGTAAATCAAGTTAAATCGACTGTTATCATTCCCATTTATATCGATCCGTCATTTGCTTCTTTGCTTTAAGACCTTCAGAAGGTACCCTGAATCAAAATGGATGAGTCAATCTCGTTCGAGCTTCCTAAACGAACTCATCATCAAATCTGGTTTGAAACAGCTTTGCTTCTTGTCATCAACTTGACAGCTTTCCTTGGAAACCTCTCTGTTTGCTGCGTTGTGTACAGAAATCAAAGACTTCGCACGATTCCAAACATGTTTGTTTTAGCCTTGGCTTTGAGCGATATCCTGATATCCACCTGCAATATGCCTTTTTCGATCGTTACTTTGCTTCGTGGGGAATGGATTTTCGGGTCGCATTTTTGCCGATTTCACGGCGTGACCTTTTTCATGTTTTCAATGGTTTCACTTCATACGATGGGAATAATCGCCGTGAGCAGATATTATTGCGTGGTAAAGCCACACAAGTACCCTATGTTATTTTCCAAACGAAAAATTTTGGCCTATATTGCCATTGTGTGGTTTGCAGCATTGGTTGGAATAACGCCTCCGCTTCTTTTCGATGGCTACAGGTTTAAACCAGGCCAAGCAGTTTGCATGTACGCATTCGAAACAAACGTTGCTTTTACTGTCTTTGTTGAATGTGTGTATATAGCAACGCCCTTAGCAATCATCACAATCTGCTATGTCAAAGTATTCTACACAGTTTCGCGAACAAATCTTGTCTTCCAGCGAGAAAATAACCCTGAGCAGCTCCGAGCAAACGTGGAAGAGGTGAAAGTGACCAAAACATTAGCGGCGGTGATGGCTGGCTTTGCATTTTGCTGGATTCCTATCTCCATAATGGATTATATTACTGCCGTGCGTGGGGAGTCCACACTACCACGTCATGCCTATCTAACATACGGGTACTTGGGTTATTTGAGCAGCACCATTAACCCATTCATATATGGTGCTACCAACAGGCGCTTTAGGCAAGGGTACAGAGCAGTTTTGGGCAGCCTGCCAAATTTGTGTGCGAAATGCTTTCGACCTTCAAACTCGGCTGAAAGAGAATAGTCGAACCAATTTGTATATCAAAAGACTTTACAAAAAACTTCTGAAAGGTCTCTGATAAAAAGGTATTAGTTAAATTTGGTTTGCCGAGGGGCTTATAACTTATGCAATAAGAATTACTACTCAATTCTCTGCCTTGGGGGGGATAACTGTATGGAGAAGTAAGGGGGTTTACCACCTTCCGCGGAGCTTAACCAAACGCCGGGGAAATTCTTCTTTTAAGATGCAAGAAACACAAAGCTTTATTTATACATCACTTATGACCTTCAAAAGATATAACACTTTAAGGTCGTGTAGCAACATAAACATGAAGCCTAAGTGGTCGTGTAATAATACAATAATTTAATAATACAAGAATTTATATAGCGCCATTTCCGTGAGCTCAATTGTGTAACGGCCGGTATAACCGACTTATGTATCTTTAAAACGTATACAGCAAAAACCCACGTATAAGAACCTAGATTTTATCTAGTTGCCTTATTTAATAGGTTCTTATAGAAATGGTATTTAGTGGGATTTTAGGCTATTCACGTTCTTAAATAGGTTCTCAATTTGATCGTGGCACTAGCGATCAGCATAGATAACTACTACAGGGCATATGTGATATGAAATATATCGCTGTATTAAATGATTATCTAGAATACAGTTTAGATGATAACCATACAGCAAATGAATCTTACTGACTGAAACCTAGACTAAAATTTTTTTCTGTATTTTCGTCTGTGCCTTCATTTTTGTAAAATAAAAACCTATTGAAGATTTAGGCCAAATAGGTGCTTGTGAAAAGGGGGTTTAAAATGAAAATTTTAGCCTAAGACTATATATATTTGTAACTTAAGCTTGTTTTTCTGCTCCTGGTAATTCTTATTTATCCACATAGTTTATTTAGTTACTTTAAAATATTATCTGTTATGACAGCTGTAACCTTTCCTTTCCGCCCGCCTCGTCTAGCTTTTGCTATTTGCGGACGGAGATGGCAAAATGATGTGTATGAAAATAAAGTATAGTGCGTGTGTTATAAGTGGTTTTTTTTACTGACAGTGTATTTCACAATAACAGCTAATGATATAATAATTATAATCCCTTATTGCATTTCAAAAAGAAGGACACATATCAATATTAATAGTGAGAGGGAAAAAACAGTCCTTCGTGAACGACATGGCCTATGTTTAGCGGCCCTCAAACACTAAGCCTACACCAGACTGAGTTCGGCTAAACATTGTAACCCTAATGACTGGCTAAACTCCCAAATTACCTCCCAATCCTAGGGTCACTATTTTTAAGAAGCTACCGAGGTTGACACTTCATTTGTTTTTAAACTGAGTTGCGGGAAATTAAAATTTTATGCCGATATCATTATTTTGCTCTTGACTAAAATTTTCAACCAACTGCTCAGACCAAAACTTTCTAATCTCTATACTCTTTCCCATTTTTAACAGGCTTGAAAACCATACTTCACAGCGGCACATGCCCATATAGACCATTTATGGCAGTAGCGGCCGTGGAATTTTTTGTTTCGCTCGACAGGCCAGCTTACTCTCAATGAATTAGAATCCTTCTAAATTTGACGTGGGTCTAAACGTTATGACCCAAGTCAAATTTAGAAGGATTTGTGTGGAGTCGCTAGAGCATAACTGGGCTAATATCTCAGAGAACATTTGCCCCACAATGCTAGTTTTTGGCAAGTTGGCCACTTGAATGTAGTTCTTTCAGAATATCCTGACAAATTCCATAATTTCCAAATTTAACATTTTATGACATCACACTTTAGAGCTCTATTGGACGACAATATAAAGAGCGGAGGCAGCTGTACCACTATTACTAGTTTAACTTTGTACACATGATTAATAACGCTACTTAAAAGAAAGAAATATTCAAAAGGAAGAAAAGTGCAGCCCAAAACGATCTTATCCTCTCAAAGGTGCGAAGAGTTCAAAACCAAAAAAACAACAACTGAATCTTAAGAACTTTGTGATCAACACTGTAAAAAAAAGGAGAAAGTGTACACTATCTCTTCGTAACTGATGAGACCTTTACAGCGTGTCACGTATTATGAAAATACTCATTATGAAGATACTGGATGCAAATAGATAAATTTCAAGTTTATATAATCCGTAAACCAATCACAAAGAACGGAATGATCTGCGTAAAGGAAGTTGTAATCATTTACATGTTATATCAATTTTGTTCAGATAAAAAATTCTCAATCTCCACATGCAGTAGAAAATATTTCCCAGTATATTTAATACCCTAACCAATGGACAGACAATGTTAGCTGAATTACTTTGATATCTCTATTTCTTTGAGCTAAGGTTTGGAACTGTTTTATTTTTTACCAGACCTCGGTAAGTAATAAATTCAAATTAACTTGCTTCTTGGCGTAATTGAGCTACTAAGTTACCTTTTTTTAATAAAAAATGAGAAGAACACCTGCGGTAAAGACAACTACTTCTCTCATTGAACGTAAAATAAAGCAGAGTTCAAAGCATTATTACAAATTAAGAATATCGCAAGCTTTTCCTAAATTATTTCAACGAACTGGTATGGATCCTCCCCGTAGTGGAAAAAAAGAAATCACAATACGGAAGGAAAGGTATGAGAAGTGAATGAAACCAAGAGACTGCTTTAAGAGACAAATATCAAATATATAACGAAGGGAGAGACAGACTCTTTTATTTATCTTCTCGGATATATCTCTACTTTTTGGAGTTATGTTGGAGTTATGTTTTGCAACTGTTTAATTATTGACTAGACTGTAAAGAAGGAATTATCTTCTTTTTTGGTGTTTACGGGAATAACTACTAACATTTTTCATAACTGAGACGAACACCTGCTGTAAAGAAGGCTACTCAGTCCCCCAAACAAAAACAGCAGACTGAAACGCTTTTCAGTGGTACAAAAAAAGAACATCTTTGCAAGCTTTTCCTGAATTCTCTCAACGAATTCGTTATGGAACATTTGCTTTCCAGGGAGCTCGTTGTAAGAGCACAGCATTTAATTTGGATTGAAGCAAGTTTCCTTGCTATCATCAACATAACAGCCATCTCCGGAAATATTTCTGTTTGCTACGCAGTTTATGGAAACCAAAGACTTCGTTCGCTTGCCAATATGTTTGTTGTAGCGTTAGCTGTCAGCGATATTCTAATATCGGTCTATTGTATGCCTCTTTCAGTGGCCGCTCTCATTCAAGGCCGATGGATTTTCGGGACCAGTGTTTGTCGACTCCAGGGTTTTGCAATGTTTACGTTTTCATTGGCCTCTCTAAATACAATGGGGGTTATTGCAGTTAGCCGATATTTTTGCGTAGTGAAACCAACGAGGTACATTGTATTATTCCGGAGGCAAAGAATTGTGATGTACACTTCGGTAGTATGGTGTGTGGCTCTGATTGGTTCAGTGCCTCCGCTAATTTTTCAGACAGGCGGATACACTTTCCAACCTGGAAAAGCAATGTGCATGTACCCATTCCAAACTAACATTGCTTATACCGCCTTCATCGAATGTGTGTTTGTCGCTGCGCCCTTTACACTCATCACTTTCTGCTACGCCAAAGTGTTCTACACAGTGTCAAGATCAAATCGTGTCTTCACGCAAGAAAATAACCCTGAACAGCTCAGAGCAAACGTCGAAGAAGCAAAAGTGACCAAGACGTTAGCTTTGGTCATGGTCAGTTTCTCCTTATGTTGGCTTCCTATCTGTATTATGGATTACATCGACGCAGCACGCGGGGAACCCACTTTGCCACGACAGGTATATCTTACATACGGGTTTCTGGCCTACCTAAGTAGTACAATCAACCCCTTTATATATGGCGCTACCAACAGGCGCTTCAGACGAGAGTACAAAACCATTTTGAAAAAGATAAGTTTGATCTTTACTTGTGGTCGTTGCAGTTGTAGACAGAACCGAACGTCCGATAATCCACCAAATTTAGCGGTGACTGAGCTTTAAATTATGTAAAAACAAAATTAATGTGGAAAACAAGATGTCAATGGTAGACAAGTTCAAAGCCTTTTGCGGTGATGCAGTGAGACCTGACAAGCTTAAAACGAAGAGTTGACGAGAGTGCGTTGGTAAAAGAAATGGTTTTACTGACAGTGTAGCATCACGGACCTGCATAAATAGCTCTTTTGCTGGCACGGACCACTGGACTGGATCCATTAGGAGGAATTCTAGTCAATCTCTTTGTGACATGTTTCGTTGTTCGTTACAAATTATTATCAGTCAAGTCCATCGCTTACATTTAGGGGTATTTTTTCTTTTTTGCAGCAATTTCGCTTACTGAACGTGTTTAGCATATACACCTCTGTCCCCGAGTTGTCCTCACTGCAGCTGATTTTAAAAGGTCGAGGGGAGATGCGCTCCTTTTTTTGAACAAAGTGGTGCCGTATTTAATTTCTCTGCATGTTTTTATTTTTTGCTGGTTTTATAACCAAAGGTGCACGAATTAGCTGATGGCAAAATTGCAAAACTACCAAAGGACGTCAAAACCAGTTTTAAATGGTTTTAATTTGATGTCCTTTGGTCAGACCTTCAGGTCCCTATCCATCTATTCTGACGGTTTTCTGTTTTGAAACGCAAGCCCTCAAGCAGCAGATTACTGGGGATGTCTCAGTCCTTCTGCGAAAAAATAAGGCCGTACTCTTTTGCCATACCCTTCGCAACCCTGAAAGGGTACTCCCTATAATGGCTATACATTAAGGCTCCAAAAGCAGGAATTTCAAATGACGGGGTATATGAAACAAAAGGGAAATCCTCTTTGAGATATCTAAAAGGGTTTTTAATACAAAATATTTCGAGGAGATGCTATTCTCTCGGACTTTGCAATAAAACTGTCACGCTTGGTAATGAATTTAGCTTGTGCAACCTGTAATAACAGGCCATCGCATTTTGTTATAAAACAAGTTGTCGCACTCTGTTATAAACGTTATTAAACTTTTTAAACTGGAAAAGAAATGAAGCTCTTGAATGATTGATGTACAAGAAAAATCATTTTCGACATTGTGGTAAGAATTTCAATTAGAATAGATGGTTTTTCAAATTCTAATTTAGCATCATTCTTATAAGAGAGTACGAAGCCTTTGTTGCATTAGGAATAAAGTAAAGTTATTTTTAAGATTAAGAATGATTGCACTATGTCTTCATAAAATGAGACCTTAAAATTAAAATATTCAAAAGTACGTTGAGTTTGATTGTTCGGGTGAACGTAGTCTTGATTACCACTGTTGTTGTTGACAGTGACTAACGTTTCGACAACCTGTGAGTTAGTTAGGCCTAGATACAAATTCACGAAAAATGGCCTAAATATGTTTCCGGAAATTCCTCATCTTTTTTCTAAATATCAGAAAAATTTCTAAATATCTCAAAAATATCTGGTTTCATTTCATATATATTACAGTCAAAAAAAAAAAAAGCCGCTCATCTAAAATGGTAACAGAAATTTCAGCAAATTTCAGGAAATTATATATTCCACATAAAGTCAGCCTTGTTTACAGCACCCCTCGGCCTACAAGAAAACTAGGGCACTGCACTTTAATACAGGCAGAGATGGTGAAAGACCATTAGGTGCTGGAGGTCTAAAGGGTTCTAAAAGGGACACTAATGTATAGTTTGCGCGTGGTTCGTCATCAGCCATTTTGTTGAACATTAACCACATTGCATATATTATATAAATGGAGAATATTGTTGAATCTGATTACAACAGGCCCATATGTGGAGATTTGTTTGAATTTCTGTCACTGAAATGCCCATGCCCTAATTAACATTGAAGTAGCTTCCTAGAAAAAACATGATTTCAGTAGTATTTTTTTCGTAACAAAATTCTAAGTATCACAATTTTTTCCTAAATATCATGAGATTTTCTAAATATCCCAAAATCTTCTAAATATCTTAAAAAATATTCAGACATTTTTATCTAGGCATAGCGGTAGTCATCTTCAGAGTCAAAATGAGTTGTATCACGCCAGTTGATGGTATTATACTCTGGTTACTGACCTGACTGGTCAATTACGTCGCGATGTTATTGGTCGTCTGTCAGTTAAGCCGTGATGCTGTTGGCTATGCAAACTCGTAATGTAATTGGTGCGCTTCGATCCGTCTATTGTTATTCAAATTGTCAGTTGTCCAGTTCTTCTCTCGTAGTAAGTTTTGCTTGATTTTGTCAATAAGTCGTTTTTACGGTGCCGGTAACTGTTGACTACGATTCAGTGGCGTTTATTTTAAAATATTAAACCAGCTTTCTAAAGTGAGTCGTTGACAGCAGTTTGTAGAATACGTAATACATGTCGCAGAGTCCCAGTCGATTTGAAGTTTCTTCTGTAATGTGATTGTTGACGTCACCATTTCTCTTCGCTCGTTTGTTTTCGCTCAGCCGCGTGCTAAGGTTTCTGTCGGTTTCACCAATGTAAGTAGCCTGGCAGTCACAGCATTTGATATTGTATACTGATCTACTGTCTTTGTCCTTGACATTAGTAAGTAGTCCACGTAAAGTGGTTATCAGTTTGTGTGCAATACGGATATTGTAACGTTGGAGTATACGTGCGATGGTTTCAGAGGTGCCTCTGATGTACGGTATAGTCGCTGTCGTAACAGGGCAAGAGTTGACGTTGGTCTGAGCGTTGGACTACGTTAACCAGGACCATGAAACTCAACCTTAACTTTTGAAATGACTCATGGGTTCAAACCTTTCACAGTTTTATAAAAATACTCTTTAAGAAGATATTGGATGCAAATGAATTAATTCAAATAAACCCATAAACCAATCACAAACAAGGAACTGTCTGCGAAGTGAATGAAGCTTACCCGACTACTTAAGTGACCACTATCGAATTGTCCCGTGCATTGGAAAACATTAGCGACCTTAAAACGTCGCTGAAAAAGTGAATTCGCGTTCTTTCAATCTTCTTGACGATTACTGCAAGTCACTAACTTTGTCAAATGTAGGTGAACCCTAATAAAAGTTGAATTCCTAAGAACCATATCCAAGTTCAAAAAGAGAGAGGAAATTTCGTCGTCGCTTAATTGTGTACTTCCGCTGTAAAAAGTGAAAAGAGGCATTTTCAGGTCGTAGTCGTGCAGTGACGGAAAAGAAATGTACAAAAAAGCGTGATGCACGTGCAAAATTGTTGTTTTGGTTATTAAGCCTATTGCTTTTTTTGACGTTCTTGTTGCCGTCGCCGTCGTCGGATCTTAAGCGCCCTAGTTTACCCCTAAATGACGGAGAGGCAGACACTCCTGGCTACTAGGATATCTCTTCTTTTTGGGCCAGCTGTTTAAGTCTTGGTTAGCTGTAAACAATGAATTCAAATTAACTTCAAACTTGGTGTTGATATAAATAACTAATGATCTGACATTTTTCATTAATGACACGAACATCTGATCCAGTATAGAAGGCTACTTCCCTTAAACGTCGAAAACAGTAGAGTTCAAATTATTACAAAGATCTTCCCAAGATTTCACTGCATACTTTCAACGAATTCGTTTGAATCAGCCCCGTATTATGGAACATCTGCATTCCAGCGAGCTCCTGAAAAGAGCACAGTATCTAGTCTGGATTGAAGCAATTTTCCTTGCTATCGTCAATACAATGTCCATCTCAGGAAACATTTCTGTTTGCTACGCCGTGTATAGAAACCAGAGACTTCGTTCGGTTTCCAATATGTTTATTGTAGCGCTAGCTGTCAGTGATTTACTAATATCTTTCAGCTGTATGCCTCTGTCAGTTGCTACTCTCGTTCAAAGCCGATGGGTATTCGGGGCTACTGTTTGTCAACTGCAGGGTTTTGCAGCTTTTACGTTTGCAATGTCTTCTCTAAATACTATGGGGATTATTGCAATCAGCCGATATTTTTGCGTAGTGAAACCAACCAGGTACATTGTTTTATTCAGAAAACAAAGAATTGTGTTGTACACTGCGGCAGTATGGTGTATGGCTCTCATTGGTTCAGTGCCTCCGCTAATTTTTCAGACAGGCGGATACACTTTCCATCCAGGAAAAGCAATGTGCCTGTACCCATTCCAAACTAACATTGCTTATACCGTCCCCATCGAATGTGTGTTTATCGCTACGCCCTTTACACTCATCACTTTCTGCTACGCCAAAGTGTTCTACACAGTGTCAAGATCAAATCGTGTTTTCACGCAAGAAAATAACCCTGAACAGCTCAGAGCAAACGTCGAAGAAGCAAAAGTGACCAAGACATTAGCTTTGGTCATGGCCAGTTTCTCCTTATGTTGGCTTCCTATCTGTACTATGGATTACATCGACGCAGCGCGCGGAGAGCCCACTTTGCCACGACAGGTATATCTTACATACGGGTTTCTGGTCTACCTAAGTAGTACAATCAACCCCTTTATATATGGCGCTACCAACAGGCGCTTCAGACGAGAGTACAAAACCATTTTGAAAAAGATAAGTTTGATCTTTTCTTGTGGTCGTTGCAGTTGTAGACAGAACCGAACGTCCGATAATCCACCAAATTTAGCGGTGAACGAGCTTTAAATTATGTAAAAACAAATGTGGAAAACAAGATGTCAATGTTAGAAAAGTTCAAAGCCTTTTGCGGTGATGCAATGAGACCTAACAAGCTTCAAACGAAGAGTTGACGAGAGTGCGTTGGTAAAAGAAATGGTTTTACTGACAGTGTAGCATCACGGACATGCATAAATAGCTATTTTGCTGGCACGGGCCACTGGACTGGATCCATTAGGAGGAATTGTAGTCAATCTCTTTGTGACATGTTTCGTTGTTCGTTACAAATTATTATCAGTCAAGGACATCACTTACATTTAGAGGTATTTTTCCATTTTGCAGCCATTTCGCTTACTGAACGTGTTTAGCATATACACCTCTGTCCCCGAGTTGTCCTCACTGCAGCTGATTTTAGCAGGTCGAGAGGAGATGCACTCTTTTGTTTTGAACAAAGTGGCGCCGTATTTAATTTCTTTGCATGTTTTTATTTTTTGCTGGTTTTATGACCAAGGGTGCACGGATTAGCTGATGGCAAAATTGCAAAACTACCAAAGGACGTCAAAACCAGTTTAACTGGTTTTGATGTCCATCTATTCTGACGGTTTTCTGTTTTGAAACGCAAGCCCTCAGCAGATTACCGGGGATGTCTCCGTCCTTCTGCAAAAAATTAAGGCCGTACTCTTTTGCCCTACCCTTCCAACCCTGAGAGGGTACTCCCTATAATGGCTATACATTAAGGCTCCGAAAGCAGGAACTTCAAATGATGAGGTATATGAAACAAAAGGGAAATCCTCTTTGAGATATCTAAAAGGGTTTTTAATACAAAATATTTTGAGGAGATGCTATTGTCTCGCACTTTGCAATAAAACTGTCGCGCTTGGTAATGAATTTAGCTTGTGCACCCTGTAATAACAGGGCATTGCATTTTGTTATAAAAGGAGTTGACGCACTCTGTTATAAACGTTATTAAACTTTTTAAGTTGGAAAAGAAATGAAGCTCTCGAATGATTGATGTACAAGAAAAATCATTTTCGACATTATGGTAAGAATTTTAATTAGAATAGATGGTTTTTCAAATTCTAATTTAGCATCATTCTTATAAGAGAGTAGGAAGCCTTTTGTTGCATTAGGAATAAAGCAAAGTTATTTTCAAGATTAAGAACGATTGCACTATATCTTCATAAAATGAGACCTTATTATGAAATAATCAAAAGTAGGTTGAGTTTGATCGTCCAGGTGAACGTAGTCTTGATAAGCACTGTTGTTGTTGACAGTGACTGACGTTTCGACAACCTGTGCGGTAGTTAGGCCTAGATACAAATATCACAAAAAATGGCCTAAATATGTTTCCGGAAATTCCAGATTGCTTTTCTAAATATCTCGAAATTTTTTTCTCAATTACCTCAAAAAAGTTCTAAAAATCTGAGAAACATCTGGTTTCATTTCATAAATATTACACAAATTTCGATTCAGCAAATTTCAGGAAATTATATCCTTGTACAGCATATACAACAAAACTCTAAGCAATTCCACAAAAAGTCAGCCTTATTTACAGTACCCCTCAGCCTACAAGAAGACTAGGGTACTGCACTTTAATACAGGCAGAGATCGAGAAAGACCATTAGGTGCTGGAGCTCTAAAGGGTTCTAAAAGGGACACTACCGTTTGTTTTGTGCGTGGCTTAAATGGTTCGTCATCAGCCATTTTGTTGAACATTAACCACATTGCATATATTATATAAATGGAGAATATTGCTGAATCTGATTACAACAGGCCCATATGTGGAGATTTGTTTGAATTTCTGTCACTGAAATGCCCATGCCCTAATTAACATTGAAGTAGCTTCCTAGAAAAAATATGATTTCAGTAGTACTTTTTTCGTAACAAAATTCCAAATGTCACAATTTTTTCCTAAATATCATGAGATTTTCTAAATATCCCAAAATCTTCTAGATATCTTAAAAAATATTCAGATATTTTTATCTAGGCGTAGCGGTAGTCATCTTCAGAGTCAAAATGAGTTGTATCACGCCAGTTGATGGTATTATACTCTGGTTATTGACCTGACTGGTCAATTACGTCGCGATGTTATTGGTCTTCTGTCAGTTACGCCGTAATTTTATTGGCTATGCAAACTCGTAATATAATTGGTGCTCTTCGATCCGCCTATTGTTAGTCAAATTGTCAGTTGTCCAGTCCTTCTCTCGTAGTACTACGACTACGATTCAGTGGCGTTTGTTTTAAAATAGTAAACCAGCTTTCTGAAGTAAGTCGTTGACAGTAGTTTGCAGAATACGTAATACATGTCGCAGAGTCCCAGTCGATTTGATGTTTCGCCTGTAACGTGATTGTTGACGTCACCATTTCTCTTTGCTCGTTTGTTTTCGCTCAGTCGTGTGCTAAGGTTTCTATCGGTTTCACCAATCTAAGTAGCCTGGCAGTCGCAGCATTTGATCTTGTATACACGCTTTTAATAAGTCTGGGCGCCATCTTGAATATGTAATTTATGACGTCATTCGCAGAAAGGCTTAAGCCGCCATCTTTGAGTTTTGACTCGCGTGAGATTACCATGTCAGGGCGAGAGGCGAAGTCAGACCATTATGAATCGCTTTATTCCATTATTTTCCTGTATTAACATTAACAAATACTAGCGAATCCTTTTCGCAGGCTAAAATAATCGTAGTTGTGCGGTTCGTCTTTGCAAGTCATACGGCGATATGTTCGATAACAAACGCAACACTAAGAAATGTGACATAAGATACCAAGCGATCAGCATGTATTAAAAGCAAGCACGGCTGCAGCGAATTAAAAGGGAGGAGTACTCGACATTAAAGGTGTGTAACTTACTCTTTTTGTGTGTGGGTTCTAATTCGTACTGCTATATTCATCTGTCAAATCTTACTTTTTTGCTAGGTGCGGAAACATAAAATCGTCTGTTCTTTTCAATTGCTGACTTCGGAAGTATTGTATTGTATTGTCTTTTAATAGTGGTCGGTAGCTTTTGAAAACGTGCAGCCTTCCCTCGATCGGTGTTTAAATGCCCTGTACACAAGCCATACCTTATTCCTAAGATCCAAAATAAGGAATCTGATTCGAGGGAACCAAATACGGTGAAAAAAAAAAAACAGGAGTGAGGTGTGTATTGAGCCAAATGCTGCTAAGCGACACAGCTTACACGAGTCTGACGCTGAAATTTCCGAACTAGAATCTGGAATTTTAGTACGAAAGGTAGAAGGTAAAAAACTGCTAATATTAAGTGAAATGTAACCAGTCTTTTTTTAAGAATATTGAAGACAGCACCACTTTAATCCTGCTCAACCCAAATAACCCTAAAAAAGGTGGTCCCTTTTGAGTTCAGGCTTAACTTAACTATGTGACAATAAAACCTTGGATCAGAACACGCCTTCTCAGGTGTCAAGTTTCATAATGTAAAAGGCCATTTTATTTCTAATAAACCATAACTTAATATTTATTATCTATCATCCTTCTGTTTGGTAAAGCAGCCTATCATGGAATTGTGCTTGATATCACAACACCACGCTCTAAGACCTGAATATGGATGTATATGTACATATAAATATACATGCTAAACCAATATTTTTCATGTACACAGCATACTTAGTTGCTGCTTAAGACCAGCAATTTGCCATTCAATATTATTAGAAACATCATTCTGTGACACGAGAGTATTTTGAACAAACCTTGTTTGCAGTGAGAGATTTTGAGTTTCCATTCGCAAACAAGTGCAATTTACAGCTAGTTAACTTGAACCTTTTACTTTGAAACCACAACGTATTTTTGCTCAGACTTTTTGATTCTCAATTAAGAATGGATTAGGAATTTTTAAACAACTTTTAAATTGGTCCTCCTGAAAAAAGGAGCATTTGCAATCCCACTCAAGCTGGTGTGTCAATGTCAATTGGGAGTTCAGGAAAGGAGCCATCAACAGCTCTAGGTCTTGGCAAATTGGAATAATGGTTATAACACTAAAGTTTGCCTCCGTTAGAGAGAGATGTTTAACTCACTACCCGTGGAACATTGTGTCCAGTTTATTAGTTGAAACTATTGCAGCACTGTTCATTGTCTTAAGTGAATGAAAGAACTAATTTGCCCTCTCTTTATTTTGGACAGTATGTTGCCTGGCGGGATACAAGGTGTCCACAAGGGACACCTTGAAGCCCTCATTACTCCCTGTAATAAGGATTGATAACATTATATGCCTTATATACATCGCATGAATTAGAGTTCGTAACCAAGGTCCTTGGTTTGTGCTACTGTTGGGAGTTGTACACATTCCAGCTCTTGGGAATTCAGTGAATTCAAACACATAATAAAAACATGTGATTACAGTAACCATTTTCTCCTGCTGTACAAGAGCATTCATTACAACTGTTAACATTGTGACAGGCCTGTCATTCTTCCTGATCAGTGATTTAAAGCATTCCCCTCTTCATAAATTTATTGTCCATATAAGGCTATAATAATCATCGTGATAGTCATTTTCAAATAAAAATTTGTATCCCTTTTCTAGGGTGTTTTTGACATTATTAGCTTTCAGATAGCTTTTTGCTTCTACCCCGGATTTTTTCGTTGCTTGTTCAACAATGTAAATGTAAGAAAAGTGTTTTGGAAAAAATCATCCCTGCTCCAGCTCTCTTTAGGGGCAGACCATTTAACTCTTGAGGGTGGGGGTGGGTGATTTCTGGTCATCAAGAATTTTTTTTTCTAGCAATATGGTGGGCAGGATATTTTTTTCCCTTTTTTTCCCATAAGCTCTCTATTACATTTGTGCTGCATGCAATTTTTTTCTTCCGACAAGCGCTTGCAGGAATTTTTTTTCAAAATCACCCACCCCCTCCCTCAAGAGTTAAATGGTCGGCCCCTTAGTGGCTACATCTCTAACCAGCAGTCGAGCTGATAGCTTTCTGGATTACTGAGCTACGCCTCCCCCAGAGTGAAAAATTATTCTGTGCAAGGGTCGACTGGAGTATAAAGGTTTTTTATCCAACTTCTTTCCTACCCTAAAACCT